GGGGTGCCACTGTGTTTGATTTATTACATGAGCAATATCTTAGCAAATGGAAAAGATAAGAGGCTCTTATTTTATATTATAGCTTCTCAATATCGATAATTTGAGTTTCTAATTCATACAAAACTATAGACTTAGTATTTTGACTTCACAAACATCTAATTTGAACCAGTGCTGCATTCAACATACCACATGACACACAAAAATCAATGTTTATCTGTGTTTTTAATATTTGCTTTTAAATTAAGAAATTGAGTAATGTATAGTACTAAAACTTGAATTATAATCTACAGTTTGATATCAAACTTATTGACATAAGTTCACAAAATTGTAGTTCAATAAAATTTTGAATGCGAGTCAACAAAGAAGATGGCATGGCCTTTCACCCGTGACCCGTCTTGAAAGGGTTAAGGGAGTCCGATTTTCTAGTTTATGGCTCTGTCACCAAATAAGGTTGAAAGCTATAAGATTATGCTTTGCTTGAGTGATAACAATCTTATAAAGAATAATTTACATTACATTCTGTACTTCTCAGATGTGTGGTACAAAAATTAGAGAAGAAGGGATACCAAGAGAGCAAATGTCACAATTCTCACACAAGGGTGAGATTGAGGATATTTTAAGATATTTCCTTATAAATTTAAGAACTTAAAACTTGTATGCCATTAAAATTTGATGTACCAACTAAATTTTTATGTCAAGTTTATTCAAAGCTTATGATTATAAAGTACTTTAATTAAATTTTAAATGTAACTCTCTAAAAAAGTGACATGCACACTTTGACCTGGCTGTAGCGAGAGTTAAATATGAAACACATTTATGTTAAAACATTTTTCCTAAACAAGTAAAAATTCATGACTCACCTTATCACTAAGAGTACACTGTTCATCACAAATAGTTGTGATAATATTTTTGGCTTCTCGAGACATTTCGTCAAGAAATGCATTGACCATTGTGAGGCTGCGATCTCCAATGTGATGTCTCTGTGGGAAAATAAGCAATGAATGAAAAACTTTGCATTCAAAATTTCCTTTTAGAGATATTAAAAGTACAAACTAGATAAGCATTTGCTTTCACAAAACTGAAAATTTCAATAAATTTACATCACTAATATTTTCTATTATCATAATAGTGAAAGAAATTTAGAAAATTTTAGCCAATTTATGAAAATTAATATATACTAAGTTTTTGATAATAGCAAAATAAGTACCAAAAGCTGACAAATAACATTAGACTTTCTACACTTGACAACCTTGATTTTTGACTGTTATATAACTACTGTCAATGTCCACTGTCATAACAAACACTAAATGTCCTCACAAAAACTTACAAAAGAAACAAAGAAAGAAACTCAAAATACTCAATCATTAGAAATAAATTTTACCAAGCCTAACATGAACAACATATATTAGGCTGTTTGAATAAGCTATAAAGAAACAAAAAAAAAAACTTGTCTCTTATGTAACAGCATGTAAAGGTTATCACAACACACCTTAAAACATAATTATTTTGATAACTTTCAACATATATAATTCTAGAAAATCAATTAGTTATTTTTTATGCTATTTTGTACAAACACACACACACACCAAGTCACTCTTTCTAAATACAGAAATGGAAGATTTTTCATTCAAACACATTGACATTAAATCACTTAGAGGTAATCTTCATGAGCAATAATAAATAGCAAATAAAGAGCAATAAAAAAGGGAAGATTATCACTCAAATACATTGAATATAAAATCACTTACAGAAAATGTTCATGAACAATAACAAATATGTAAATCCAAAAAAGTCAAGATGCTTATCTAATTAACATAATGAAATTAAATTACATGCTAATTATTCTAGCTTTTTAAAAACAATTAGAATGAAGCATACAAAAAAACTTGCCTCTTCTGGACAGAGCTCATGGGTACAGTTCATAAAATGGCTACAGATGAGAGGGAAGGCAATGATGTACCTTGTCTGTGCAGGAAACTCCAGACACATATGAAACTGTTCTTCAAAAATTCGGTTTAGAAAGCTGCAATGTAGCAAGAGCAAAACTAATAAAGTATGATGACTAATACATTTTTTTATTGTTTATTTGGGGTTATAGGGAGCAAAGCATTGAGGCTATCTGTTCCAAGCACCAATAACAAAAATTCTAATCAAAGGTACATAAAATAATAATGCAATATAACTTTTGGAAACAAGAGTCACTGAAAATTATTTAAGAGAAATCAGACTATATGAAATAAAACATACAAAGGAACAGTTTCTTCCTTGAAAAAGGCTGAAATCAATTATTAAAACTTAAAAAGGCCTATAGTAATTAAAAAGCTGAAAACACAATCAATCTGGACAGTACCATCATTGCTAATGACACTGCCCAATGTCAGTGAAGTATCAGATGTTAAAAGATGTCAAAAATAATACTGTCACTGAATGTCATAGCAAAGGTATGAAAATTAAACATGGATAATTGAGGCTTGAGTGTCACACAACACACACATTGGTGAATCTTTTCCTTGTGAAAGAAAATAAAGTGCAATAAAACTGTGGTCAATGTGGAGCCTTGTGAGGACAACTTTCTCCCTCTGGAATATTCAAGGGTGTTCTTGCCAGATGAGGCAACTTTGGCCACAGTGTCAGTGACCTTGTTCCCTCAGATTCCAGCACAACCAGGAATTCAGTAACACTGGATAGAGAGGAAGATGACAGTGAAAAATGGGCCAGTCACCTCTGAATATACAAATATTTAAAAGAATTGGTCTAGAACTGACATTTAAACAATTCTTAGATCGTCAAGGAGCTAAGTGAGTTTATATAGATAGTACAATTAGTGTACCACATAGCTTCTATATGATTCAAAGCAAATGAGATTACATACAACTCAACAGTAAAAGAGAATATGCAAATAGATCCTACAATTAACTACAGAACTGCAACAAACCATGGCACAGCCCACACAGTGAACAGATTTTGAGCCATTCAAAAAATGACTAAAACGATGTTGGTTAAAGAGAAGTCAGTACTTCCAGTTGGGAATATATGACTCATTCAGGTGAGTCAAAGAAAGATCACAAGGAGAGACAGTAACAAGCCATGTTGGGATAAGTTGATCATGAGATTCAGCAATGTCATCTAATGTCAGACCCATCTTAAACATCATGATAGAAATTTAATTATATACATTCTCAAAATATAAAAGGTTTTTCATTTATTTAAAAACCGATGCAAACGTTTTTGGACATGAGCTAGCACCTGAAGAAGACCCATGGCTGAAAATGTATGCATTGTTTTTTTAAAAAAGAAATAAATGAATGAAAAACAAAGATAGATGGAAGCATTGAAGGTGAAGAAGAGGTTCATGGGTAGCTGGGAAAAATGTGTTTTATACTCACAAGAAAAATAAAATATTGTTATTAAATTTGTTATAGTAACAACAAATATCCCTAACAAGCAATAAGTCTTTATTTAATTGACAAAATTATGGGTTAGAATACCTTGAAGAACTATCTAAATGGGTGTTGGGGAAACATCATGGAATTAATTTAACAGTAAAGTCAATCAATTCTCTGTCCTTATGCACAGTCTGTATCATATTTCCAACTTGGTACATTGTACTGCAAAACTACCATTGTTATATTAATGAAACATAATATGTACTGATCTTTAAAAAAACTCAGAAAGTTAACAGAGGTTTTTTTCATTAATTCACAAGAATAATTATTTTGTAATTATAATTTATCATAAGATCTATTACTACCAGCCACAATTATCCTTTTTTGAGAGTACAACTGTATCATTATTCTGGTTCACCCACATATTCAAGTTAATATGTATTGAAAACATCATATTCTACAAAGTACAGAAAAGTAATATATTCCATGTAATAAAATAAATAATATAGAAATGATTAATGACAGTAAACTTATCTTCAGCATGATTTTTCCCCTTATTTGTTGCACTCAAGTATTTTAACATTTACATACAATGAAATATTTAGTTGAATTTCAATAAATTATTTTTTATTTTCATTCATTTGTGTAATATCAATACATAAAAAAAATTATTTATAAAAAATAACTTAAGATGCAAACAAAAACTTGGAAACATTTTTCTAAATATGTTATGACCAACATAACATCATACAATGTGTTTTAATGATGTATTTTTATGAGCTTCACAATGAGAACAAATAATTACATTTGCTATTTATTTTATTGTACTTTAAGCCTATAAATGCAAGTGTCATAAAGAATTTATTAAATCTATTAGCATAAATATGTTTATGTATCTTAATGAAACTCCATCCCTCAAAAATTACATCTGAGTACATTTGAACAAGTGCACCTTTTTTTAAAGTGATGAGATTGAACTATATATAACAGTCATTAAGTATACCTAAATCTTTATACTAACAAATCAAGCATTAAGAGGTTTTCAGCATTTCATGGTAAAAGTGGAGTGGTTATTACCCATCTTGTAGTATAAAGTTCAATAGTTACTAACCATTCATATTGATTAACTACTTGTTGTTGCCACATGTTTGTAGAATACATAACACTAAAAGTTAATTAGTACAATTTCCATGACTACTGAACCAGAGTAGATAAAAAAATAATAAAGGTCTAAGATTTGGCTACATCTGGCTATCAATTAATATATCTCAAGATATAACCAACTTCTTACCTTAGGGAACTCAAGCTTTGCAAGTTATTTGATAAAAGACTCAAAGTGTTTTGGAAAATGACATGTATACTCTCACATTAAATCTACTGAATAGAAAGAGTGGCTAGTCTTTATAGTCAGACATTTTCTTAAACTTACCAGAAGATAGAAAGATCTGAAGTTTCAATAAGAAGCTCATCCAAATAGTCCACTAACTTAGTGTGGAAAACTATTGTGTTCAATAGGACAGCCAAATCTCGAATGTCATGGAAATTCAAAGGATACTTGCTGACACTGCAATAAGCCTAAAAGAAATTATATTCAAGTTTACTAACTTTTTTAATCCTCCAAGTAGTCCATTAATTTAGTGCAGAAAACTATTGTATTCAAGAGGACAGATAAGTCTCAAATGTCATGGAAATTCAAAGGCTACTTGCTGATGTTTCAGTAAGACTAAAAGAAATTACACTTAATTTTATGTAAATTTTTTAAATCATCAAAATAATCCACTAACTTAGTGTGAAAACTACTGTGTTCAAGAAGGCAGCCGAATCTCAAGTATCATGGAAATGCAAAGGGAACTTGCTCGCACTGCAGTATGCCTAATAGAAACTATATACAAGTTCGTGTAGTTTTTTTTTAATCTGTACCTAGTTGAGAGTAAGACAACTTAAACAATAGTTTGAAAACAGAAATCATTAATGTTGTAATGCCTAAATGAAGAAATTTGATAAAAATATCTGTAAGAAAAACAATGATCAAAAACATCATTCTATTTTGCAGAATATTAGAATCCTACAAAATCAATCACAGTCAAAGACAGGTATATTTATACAAAAATTCAACTTCATTACAGCAAAACTTATAATTCTCATTTTAAAAATGCACAAAATAAATTTGTTTCTGATATTATGAATTTTTGTTCATCTGTTGTTAAGAGCAAAGCTACACAATGGGCTATCTGCAGTCTGACAATCTAAGTATCGAAACCTTATTTTTAACATTATCAGCCCTCAGACTTGTCACCACCAGGGGCATATTCTGGACTCATTTTAATATATCAAAATAACATACAGAATATAAAAACTACTAAAAAAAAGAGTAATGAGAGGAGTTATACAAATTTCTGAATGTAGGTCTTTATATGTAACAAGTCCTACCAAAAAAAATCTTAATAAAATTAATAAAAACAATATTTTCTCTATAAAAATTTTTTGGGGCAAAATTATACTGCTCAGAGATTAATACTATAAAAATAAGACTCAAATTGTTGTTATAGTTCTTTCAAAAATAGACCTAAAAAACATAATGCCACTATATTACCTAATAAGGTAGTGGTTCCTAAACTAGAGGTCCACGATACAGTCTCAGGGGAGCCTCAGTACATGTATAAATATTCTTTTTAAAATTTTCCTTATACCAGACAAAGCAAAACTTTCAGCAAAAATGTTATTTTATTGCAATAAATGTGACTATACAATGTTGTTGATACTTGAATTTTTTATTTTTCAAAGAACTGTAGTGAAAATGAAGTACCTCTGAATTGCTATTACTTAAAATTTCTACCAAATCATCAAGTGTGGGTCCTTAGGTAAGGTGTGAAAGATCTTGGGGCTGGGGGGGTTGGGTCTCAAGCTAAAAAGTTTGGGAACCTATGTAATAAAGTACTAAATATTTGATAAGGATTTCAAAAATCCAATAAAAAATAGATATAAATATTTTAAAAGAAAATTACATACCTGCAATCTAAACCAATCAAGCCGCAGTCCTCGAAATTCAAAAAGTTCATTTTCTTCCACTTTGGTTAAAAAAGAAAAAATTATGAGGTGTAATTTTTCATATTTAATACGCATGCAGAGTGATCTTTACCTATTATTTAGAAACTACTCAAATGTTTTAGTTAGTCAGACATAAGTTACTTTAGTCAGATATTTGGAATCATATGAACTTCACCATTTAAAATCAGCACGAAACGTACATCATTGTAAGAGAAAATTTGTGAATTTTATCATCATAGATTTAACCAGAACAAAACTGAGCTTTCATCAAACCTAATTAAAATGTTTGGCTTCTTTATGTTCACAAGTCATTTAAAACTATTTTCCTTTCCGATTCTTGTAACAGAAAGTGATTTGTAACATATTAAATGCCATGACTTAAGCAATTGTAAAAAAAATTTCATTCCCATGTAAAGGGAGCAGTACCATTACAAATATATTATAAGAGGTAAAATAATTGTTATGACCATTGCATCCATGATATGAGTGTTATTGATGTAAAAATAATAAAAAATGTTGAGAAATAAATATCATCATCATCATTAGTAAACGTTTTATTATTTCTTTGTCTTTAAGAACTCGCAAGTTTTCAGTTTTATGGATTCTTTCTCTTCTTTACTGAAATTGAACATTTTAGCACTGAAAAGAAAGATTCACAATTAACTCTAAGGTTTTTAATAAAATATACATAGGTTGTATTGCTTTCTATGTTTTATGCTGTCACATGTAATTCCAACAAGTTACTATTCAGCTACTATGAATATTTTAAGTTCATGTAAAGACTCATAATTATCTATTACATAACTTCAATAATAATAATCATTATAATTATAATCTTTATGTGCAAAAAGCTTAAAAAATAACTCAGTTTGATAATTAAAACAAGTACATGTTACTGAGCTAGTAAATGTAGTTCTACATATAACCTAAGTCTGTGCAATTTGAATAATCTATAAAAAGCTACATAATCATTTCACAATATGAACAATTTCTTATGATGAAAGAATACAAGTTATGTAACATTGTTTTAACACAATTAAGTTTTATAGTGTTTATGATACTGATTACAAATATCTGACTGAATGTGCAGTATCTTGTATTACATACTTCCTTGCTCTGTTTAATACCAGCTTGAACACAGTTTAAATTGAACTAATTGTGATTTGTACTTTCTCATTCCATGAACATAGAACCATGCTTCACTATCAGTTTAAACACCATATGATGGCCTACATATCAATAAATTACATTTAAGCTTTCCATATATAGCAAACACATTTGTAGCTTAATTTTAATAGACATTTCAATTAATTATAATTTTACTAAAACCTTATAATTCACATTTTTTTATCAAAATTTACAATCAAAAACTTATACCTTAAAATTTCATTTGTGTATTTCACATTTTGTTAGTAATTTAATCAACTATGGCCCTTAGTTCAAATGTTGAGTTAGTCAAAATAAGATTCTCTCATAAGTTATTATACAAAAGAAAATTAAAACATAAAACAAGATTATTTGATAAAAAGAATATTTAATATATTGTGTCAAGCATTTTAATAGCAACCTCTCTTCTAAACAAATGTAAAAAAAAATTGTTTGAAGACTAATAATTGAATGTACGGACACTATACTGACCACAATACATCAGTCAGAAGATAAACAGCAAAATTCTTAAAATTGAGGAGCAATACTGACACTTTTCTAAAGAATTAAATACTGTTTAACTGTTATGTAATACCTTGTTTAACCGAAATTGTTGAGATGGAGTTGCAAATTGATGACAAGATAACAGTGTCCTCCTCAGGCATCACTGGAACATTCTGTATACAACATAAATATTGAAATACAATTTGTTTCACTCACTACCCACATAAATTGAAAACATCAGCAGAAGTGGGTTTCTTCATAAAATGGATCAAACATAAGCAAACTACTGTCTAGAATTATATAAAAAGAAACAGAAATGTTTAGTTGATTAGCTAATTAAAGAAATCAAGATCCCAAATTGTACCAAGCACACACAGACTGCCATCTGGAATTATATAAAAAGCAACAGAAATATTTCATTGACTGACCAATTAATGACAAATAATGACATTTACCTGAATCATTTGATCCAATGCTACAGAATAGTAACTGGAGAGGTACTGAACATAATATCTTTGGATCACCTGGTTGTACTTACGAACTAATGCTGAAATCAGAAAACAAATACAGTACCTAATTATAAAATGTACACACTCGTGTGTGTGTGTGTGTGTGTGTG